TGCCTCTGTTTGCTAATCTTGCCCAGTTGTTAGGAAATGAGGAGGAATGAGGAATGCTAGCTAACAGGTCATAGTGAGGCTCTGTGCGGTCAAGCTAACTCCCATTTTAACATTCCATATATTTTTGGGGCATAAAGATGAGATTTTTATTTGACAGCAACCATAATATCGATAATATATATATATATATATTTCAACATACTGATCTTTGTCCCGTAGTATAAAAGATAATATTTCACTCTTGTTCAGAGTGCTGTGCAATTAAAGAAATTGCTCTGTAATTGTCGAAGCTCGTGATGATTAGACACAATTAATTTCACAGCTTTCCCCAACCGCAGAGCCTGATCTCATTTGATGAGGCGGTGTAAAATGGATGAAAAGCGGCTAGCTCGTTGCCAGACATCTGAAATCTGTAACAAAGAGAGCGGAAAGAAAAACCGGCTGATGTGGTATTTGGTTCCTGTTCATGTCATTTTACTTACATTGGCAGGGATATGGTTTTTATTTTCTTTTTTTTTTGAGGGGGGGGGGTTGTTGTGCTTCCCGAAGGATGAATCTGATCTGTTCCATGAGGTTGGTATGTTGCTTGGTAACATATGATGGCTCGGTGGAGTGTTTCATGTCAGGAGTTCATGTACGGGTGCATCAGACTACAGACTTCACTTGCCAGGCTGTCGAATGTCTAATTTCATGTCAGTAGAGGATTCAAGGACAAATTATGTTGGGGAGTAACGCAAAAAGTCAAGCCATCATGGATTTTTTTATTTAAAAAAAAAATTGTTTTCAACATTTGTGGACAGTGCCAAACAAATGAACCATGTTTGAAACTCACGTCCTGCCTCTCGCGCACACAGAAAGTGGCACCTTGGGAAATGAAGATGAATGACGAGCGCTTTGCTAAGCGGCCCCGCAAGAAGCTTAGGAGATAATGTGGGCGCACACACGCACCGACAACAGCCTCCTACTTGGTTTACACACATTATGCAATGCGCAAGAGCATTTTTTAAAATTTATTTTTTTTTATAAACCTTCCTGTGCCTTGTCTTGCTTGCCAAGTAAAGTAGATGCACTGAGCTTTGTTCCATCGCTCACGCTTGCATTAAACCATTTGCTTCTACAACAGCTTGAAGCTTTAAGTGTTGCGGCGCCCCGTCGAGAAAATACGGCAACGATATGAAGCTTATTAGACAGGCAGCTGCAGAGAGCCATAAACAGGAAAGCACTAATGTACTCCCTTGTATCAATGTCGACTTTGCCTTTTCTAAAGAAAATAAATAAATAATTAAAAAAAAAAAAGGCTTGCGTGAGCACACGAGAAAACATCCACGTTCGTTTCGGGTGTAATTGCCCCGGTTGATTCTTAACTGGAAACCAAACAGGAGGATAGATTAGTGCCATTAATGAGTCAAAACAAAAGGACAATGAACTCAAGATCCCAATCAGAAAGGCAATGTTGTGGTTCGACTTCAAGCAGATTGGACAGATGCCTGGTGGATGCCATCATAATAATTATTTCCACTTGCTTTCACTAATTCATTCTTCTAAGTGTCTCTTTGGCACACGATCAGATTCCTTCTTCCTGGGATCAACGGAGTTCTGTTCCAAATCGTAAAGCCTCTTTCCTGCTGGACAGTGTTGACTCGGCTTGACATATCTTTGCTCATCATTCTTTTTTTTTTCCTATCCTCTGTGAGGAGGAATCGCACCGATTCCTGCTGTGTTTTGTCGGTCTTGTTTTTACCGATCTTGTTTTGCCGGAAGTCGTCGTTACACGGATTCCGAGAAACGGGAACATTTCAGCACAGAAAGAATAAGCGAGTATCACGTTCAGGCAAAAAGTCAGTCACACTCGTAAGAAGGCCTGGAACACCCGCACACGTGCAGTCATACAAACGCGTACACGCACACACTCTCGAAAGGGAAACGTTAATCACGTCAGGGGCTTGTTTTACTGAAGGAGCTCCGCTGAGAGAAATGCTTCATTAATATCAGCCCCCCCCTCACATCCCCTCAGGCCTTTAGTTAGCAAGCTTATACACAAACACTCACAAACGCACATTTACAAAGGCATTATAAATTGAAGAGACAACCACACTTGGATGTATTATGTTATGTACGGCCAATCCTGCAGTACGCAACGCCTTCTGCTTGCGTCATATGCACCCATCTTGACTTGGGAAACATTGTCTTAGTGTACGACCTAAAAAAACAATAAAAAAATCGGACCGGCAAACCCTTTCATCCACAAAGTGTTTGTGCGGGTTTATTTGGGGAAGTTTTGATTTCCCGTCTGCTGACTGAAGAATTATTCTTATCTCCCGCGACGTCCACTTATTGTCCGCCCGCTGCCATTTTGTTTTGATAACATCGAAGCCCCTTGGTACCCTCCGAACTGAGCCAGCCGCACAGTGATCATAACACAAAAACACACACATACACACGCGCGGAAGCTCCTGTTCGCAGGGAATTGGAAAGGAAGTGTCTGACGGATAACCCACGGGGATGTGCCCAACTTCACTTCCTGTTTGTATGAGCTATTGTTCTCCAAAATGGTAAAGAGGCGCGGTAAAGGACGTGCACGTTAAAGGCATCCGTGAAGAGCTCACTGCCAAAAGGCCATTCGCGATCAGCAGACGCAACCGAACCCGACTGGAAAGCTCATTTTGATTGGCTGTCACATCTGAAGACGACGTGACTCTGCGCAACGGCGATTCAAGATTCGGAATAGCCGTCGGCCACCCGTCGGCCACTCGTGAAAAGTCGTTGCCAAGGCCTCGCGCGCTGCCCGAGAGTTCCTTCGGGTTTGGTTGCGTCCGTGTCAGACGCGATGAAAAATGCTAAGCCCTCGGGCCCGATTTGAAAGCCCGAGGGCTTAGCGAAGCTGCCAGTCATTGTCGGTTCTGTTTTCTATTGTTATGGGCTGATGGTTTGAAATGGAAGTTTGTATTGGTTTGGTTTTGAAGTCGAACTCAATAACCGCACATATGCAGATTTTTAATCAAATGGACACAATACCAGTGAACAGTTCACAGGCTCGAACGGAAAATTGAAGAACGTGTAGTTCCCACTGTTCTGCGATGTTGTTGTTTGTCTGCACATAGATTCTTATTGTTTTTGGGGGGGATTGGATGAAGGGTTCAAATTCTTCCACACTAACTCATCCATGCGCAGGGGCCAGACGAGCTCAGAAAGATCCTCACTTCTTAATTGTGGAAATATTTTCCCATGTTGTTGAACAGGAGCGTGATGACCTGACCACAAGGGTCCGAGAATTCCACAACGGGGTGAGCCTGCGGTGACATCATTCATGTTGCGCAACAATAATCGCTTTAGTGGAAGACAAGGAGTTCCAACAAGGCGAATGTGTACATGAGTACAAAATTCTAGCTGAGCCCTTTTTTAAGGCGGGGGGCGTGGGGGTGACCAAAAGTTTTCAAATCCTTTTGATAGTTTGGGAAAACGCCAAACCCGTGGACAACGCCAGAAACGGCTGGAAATGAGGCGGGATAGCGACCATCTGGCTCTGAGATGCTTCCTCGCATGTGCGCCGAGAGATTCTGTGTTGGTCAAACAGGATTTTGAACTTTGAATCATCCGTGGGCGTTCTTCGGCGCTGCATCGGCGGCTTCTTTCCTTGAGCACTGGATGCTATGCCGAGGAAGATCCCGCTTCTGTCTTGCCTCGTTCGTTCTCTCCCCTTCAGCCCACACAGACGTTCCTCTGCGGTTTGACACCTGTGTGTGTGTGTGTGTGTGTGTGTGTGTGTGTGTGTGTGTGTGTGTGTGTGTGTGGGTGTTGGTGTTTGTGTGTGTGTGTGTGTGTGTGTGTGTGTGTGCGGCTTCCACGTGTTACGTGATCTAAAGAAAATGGTGGGTGGAAGGAAGTGGCAGCACATTGGTTCTTTAACAGACACACGAAGGCACACACACACACACACACACACACACACACACACACACACACACACACACACGCACGCACACGCACGCGCACAGAAAGAACACACACCAGTTTCACACCGTGAAGATAAAATGTCAGGGTTGGTTTGAGGAGACAACTGCAGGTGCCGCTTCTGGCGCAGGGGCCCGCTGAGGTATTGGGGCAGCGGTCGAGAACCGCCAGACTTAAATTTGCCTTAAATGTCAAAACATCTGGGGGGGGGGGGTCCAGAGCTGCGTTTGCAACTAAAACTGGTTACCTTAGTGATGACTGTGTAACCTTTCGTTCGCCCGAGTTGCACATTTGCTCTGTTTTTGTTTGGCGGCGATACGAATTCGTCAGCGAACATGAGCCCTGCAATCATGATTAACGTCGGCGCGTGAATAGTGTGACTTGTGCACCCCGTTTCACACTGAGGTTGCCCCTTCGGAGTCGACTAAACATGGCGAGCACATATGTCTAACGAGCAAGGCTATCAAGGGTTCCATTAAAGCTCCCTTGGGCTTTTGTTCCTTTTAATACATGTTACATGTTGGGGGGAAAAAAAAAAAAACACGACGGCTATTTAGTGACACGAATTCCTTGTCTTCCACTCTGCCGTTTAAGCGTTGCCTTCAAGGCGAACAATAGACTCTTGCTCATCCGTCAACGCCCGGCGCAGATGTTCCCCGACGCTTAAGATTTATGGGCCGTCTAATTCAAGAGTTCCTCCGTTTTTTTGGTGAAAATCAGCCCCCGTTGGGAATGTGCGGTTTGAGTTCCGTCGTCGTCAAAAGATGTGTTGAATAGTTGGATTGTCAGAATTTGTTTATGAAGAATAAACAATTTTTTTTTTTTGGACTGGATTGGCTTGTGTAATTTTCGCACGTGAAAACAGTTCAAGATGCAATTCCGCATTCGGAATTGCATCTTGAACTGTTTTCAGCGGTCAAATTTCCCTCCTCGACGCCTTTCTTCCTTCCCGTCTCCCTTCCTTCCATTCACCCCGACATCCTCTCATCCTTTCTTTCTCCTGTGCATTATTTTGTGGTTCCCGGCCACCCTTCGGTCCCAATCAGGAAGTCAACTCTTCCGTTTGTAATTTCGCCTCGCTTACATCATCCGTCCGTCATCCATTTTATATTCAAATTTGGACATCGATCCACTTTGCGACTTTCCATTCGTCTTTCCTCCATCATCTTGTCACGTATCCTCTCGTCCATCAAATCCTTTTGACATTGATACACACTTTTCAAAATAATAAACTGATGACCCACCCCCAAAAAAAATAAATAAAATAAATACATTAAAATACACCACAATCCAGCGTTTGTTTCCTGGCACACCTCAAGGTCACTTAACCAATGTAAATTGTGGGACTAAAACCACTGCAGCTTCTGTATAACTACAGTCGCTTCATCAACAGCCTGCCCAGACTTTTTTTTTTTTTTTTTTTTTTTTGGGCCCCCTTCCTTCTTGTTTCAACTGCGGAAAAAATTCCCAGGGCCGCAGGCTCCCCTAACTTACTTGATTGTCTGAGCGGCCGCCCGCTTAACTTAAAAGCGACTTTCAGACCGGGGGCTTCTGCTAAATATCCTCATCGTGCTTGTAATTGGTAGTCTCGGGATGCCTGTAGAAAAAAAAGCTTGTCACTGCCAAGACGGTGTCTCAAAAAGACATTATGGAAATATTTACGGCCAGAAGTTAGTGCTTCATGGGAATTTGAGAAAGTAACTAACTCAGAGTGACAGACCCCTAAAAGGTCCCTGAAGAGATTTAAGTGTTTAAGCTGCTCTGTGGAACGTCCTTACATAAGTTAAAAAAAAAAAAAAAAATGACGGTAATTATCCTCATAAACAAAGGAGACTCTCACTGCAAATAGCCACCTCCGAGACTTTCTGCCCTTAACTTGTTGTCACACAATGGATCAGTCCTTATCTTCTCATTTTGCGGACAAAAAAAAAAGACTTTAATACCCCTGACGCTGATATCATAATTAAAAGTAATAACCATGTTCTCGAGCCGTGCCGCATCCATATTTCTCGAAGAAACCCGATTATGGCCACGTAATATAGATTGCTTGCAGAAGTGTGACAAGGTGTTTTAATCCTTTCATTTGTAAAGGGAAACCGGGCGTGCAGTTTTTCAAATTAAGCTGTTGTACGGAAATTAATGTGGATCGCCGTAGTGTATAGAAAGCGCTCTCGGGACACAACAAGACTGGGAAATGAATTTCAACAGGAAGAGGAAATAACGTGGCGCGTATAAGTTTGTCGCGTTTTCCCATCTCGGGCTTATCTAGTCCTTACGAGTCCTGATAGCCTCCCGGCAGGATAGCGCGGAAATTAAAAATGTTGCAATGTGTAGTGATGTGCCGGTGAGCCTGCTAGGGGTCACCTATGTCATGCGGAACGGTGGCGGGGAGGGGTGGCGCCTGCTGCTTTTAGCACTTCTAAGAGCTTTCGGCAGTTCCGAAAGTATCCCACAGGAGATGTTTTACTGGTTCAGCGCAATCTGTCTGTTAAGGTGGGGGCTTAAGGGTAAAATAGAAACATTTTAATAATCCAGATTTGTCTCTGCAGAGCTCCGACCTCCGCCAAGGTCAAACTGTTCACACAGGTGAAAAAAAAAAAAAAAAAAGTTAGTCGGCAGTCCGAATGACAAAGAGGTGGTCGATGTCGATATTTTCGTGGCCGCAGAGTTGTGTCTTTCCCGCTTCATCCCGCCAACCAAATATCTGCCCTTTTTATTTCGTGTCAAAGTGGCTGCAGAGGGAAAAGGTCAGCAAAACAACAAAGCCTCGTGATGGTCGAAGACTTTTATCCAAGAGGAGAATGTTTTTTTTGCCCGTAGACAACATACGGGATTTGTTGCGTTATAGTCCGGATTCTTGCAGCGACGGGAGGTTTGGCACGTTCTGAACTTGCACACTCATCAAGACTTTCATTTTATGTCTCTGTTTCTCCCCACCATTCACGTCTTCCCTCTGGCGCCGCCGCTGCTCGTCATCTGCCCTGATACGCACGATCCAGGTAAGAATGCTTTTCTTTTTACCTTTTGCTGCGGCTGTTATTTTTGAATGGTTAACTTGCCAAAGCACAAGCAAAGCAATATGCAGTATAGCACTGTCTGTTTGGCTGCAACAATTGGCCCCATATTACTTATTTGGCATCACGGGCTTTTTAAAGGGCAAAGTCACAAATCATCATAACGTTCACCATCTATATTTTCTCGAGCTGGAGTTTATCGCTAGCGGACTCCACCCTGGACTGGTTACTGCTCAATAACGGGGCCCCTCTATTGACAAACAACCATTGACACTGACTTTTGCCTATCGCTGGAGTTGAAACTGAACCCACATAGCCAGGGAAAGGGCCACAACAACTCTAAAAAGAAAGCGTAATCAATTAATTTGCAAGATTACACAAAAACAATACCGCACACTTATTTTCCTCCCGAGACAAATCTCTCCCCAAAGATTTTGGTCAATGTGATGTCAGAACCACAGGAGCCATTTTGCCACGTGAAACAACACACTTGGGCGATCAGTCGGAACGCTAACGGTGTCAGGCTGTCAGCATTCAAAGTGTGCAGAGTCATTTACGTCTACTTGTCTTTGAAAAGTAATCCAGTGGCTCTCGCTAGCCCCGAGGTGGCACTTAAGTTCTGCTTGTCGCTAGCGCGGCCGATGCTAAACGCTGGCAGCAGGCGCCGTACAGTACAGCGTCAGCGCAAGTTTCATTTAGCGTCTTTAATTTAGCGGTTGAACGTAATCTCAGGACAACGCGTTGAGGTCGTAGCAACAGTTTTTGACAGCAATGCAAATGCACTAAACACAATCTGGAAGATAAGTTAAGTCAGCTAGGACGCCACGTGTTGGCGGCATGTTTGCTGTCATGCATAGTCTAAACAATGGTCGCTGCGGTTAGCTTGACTTCGTTTGCCTGACAGTGTACACAAAAATAGGTGCGTACTAGAGCACTGGGCGTGAGAACTGGCGTACCGGCGACTTGTACATGCGCCGCATAGCAATGATGCTCACATAGACACACAAGCAAATAAATAAAAGGAAGGCACTGAAAGAGGACACGCGAGTATTTTCTCCCCCTGCCAAAATGCATGATTATCTGCTCCTTCGCTGAGAAGAATGAAAGGAAACAGAGTCTAAAGGGTAACGATGATAAATGGCCATCACCACTTTGCTTCTTTCATTCCCGCTTTTGACACACAGCTCAATAAAACATGAAAAACATTTCTCTAATTGTTTCACTGTCACGACAACCGAAATGAAAGTTCATGCTCCCTTCAGCACCCTCTTTTCAGTCTGTCATTGCTCAAAGCCAGGGATCGGTTTGAGCTGCTGGGTTTTTAATAGCACAAAGCGATGTAAATTTTTTTTTTTTTTGCTTTTAGCGCCTTTGTTGTGCACCGTAAATTGCCAGCTTCTACAAACATGGCGACACGCTGTGCCGCAAAACAATTCCCAAACATGAGTGTTTGCTGAAGGCTTGTACCAGGCCCACGCCGGTGTTTGCAATGTTTTTCCGCATACGGACTAAAAATAGCTTGGCGGTGGAAAAAAACTCATTAATCATACAGGAAACACATTAACGAGCATAAATGTTTGCATACAAGCCCATGCAGTTGTAATGATACACTTTATTTTATGCTACATGCTAAACTTAGTCTCAGAGATTTAATTAGTATGTAAAGTGAATTTTAAAATAAGTTTGTTTTATAGCAAGGTCAAAATGCACCATGAGTCCTTCCTCTTTTCTATCGTGTTTTGGTCTATACATATATATATATAGATGGTTTGCTCTGATCTCAGCAGACGAGTTTCAGATAAACAAAGCTTTGAAGGCCACTGAACTGTCTCTTACGGAGTTTCCTGGAAGCGAAGATGGTCCCGGCATCGGCTGTTTTGTCTGCGGCGGGGACGTCGTGACCCCTTCCACTGATGGGGAGGATGTGCTTTCTGTGCTATTTTCACATTCAGCTGTTTTTCCAAGGATCAATTCACATTTCAAAGTACCTTTTGTTTGCAAGGGTTTTGGCTTTGTTGCTGAGACTCACTATGTGACGGTTACATGATAAATTAATCATTTCGCTAACAGCGCATCAGATCTCGGTTCAAGTGAGCAATTTTGTGACACTTATTCCCAATGTACCTCTGGAAATGTTTATGGTAAAGGGGCTTGTACCGTATTTTTCAAACCATAGGGTGCACTTAACTCATTCAATCGCAGCCATTTTCACTGGAGCAACCCCCTCAATCCCAGCGTTTTACTGGATTTTGACTGATCTTGCAAGGCCCACTGAATATTTGGTATATAAACATGGAGCCTACCAAAATAAAGTTTGGACTCTCTTCTTTCAGCAGAAAAAAAAATTATTTTTCCATTCTTCAGCAATCGGCATTACAAAATGGCTAAGTTTCATGAAAATGGCGATTCCTGGGCAAAAAAAACAGAGAAAAAGAGCTTTTCGTAAAAGCATGCATTTCAAGCTCGTGAGGCACCACTGCCACCTACTGGTCGCTTTTTTACATGATTTACAATGCAAACGGCTTTTTCTCATTCACAGCTTGCATCAGATCCTCCTCCTCTCTATGAGGCAAAAAAAAAAAGACTTCGACGTACAAGTATGTCCTTGGTAGGCGGGGCCTAATTTTAAAAAGACGTACAAGTACGCCTTGTGGAATTAAACAGTGAAAATCCTTTTTTTTCTCAAACATCAACACTGCGCCTTGTTGATAAAGACGTACAAGTACGCCTTGTGGAATTAAACAGTTAAAATCCTTTGATTTTTCTCAAACATCAACAGTGCGCCTTGTTGAGCGCTTGTGCCGTTTGTACGACTCTTAGCTTTTCAGTTCATTGTGTTTAACCCTTTCATGCACCCTGTAACCTGATAACACGGTCAGCTGTCCACTGTCGTAACCGCTGTCCCTCAAAGGGTTCATTCAAATTCTTCCCAATTGACCCTTCACGCATGTAATCGCTAGCAGGCTTCCATGTTGAGAACTACTTCCTGCTTGCATGTCTGAGAATAACGGGAAATGTCGTCTCATGCTGCGATCAGACCGTACACAAGCTGAGTGCCACTGGACACAACCCCCCCAAGCCCCCCAGTGTGTCGTTGCGCGGCAAACAAAAGCGCACGCGACCCGGTCTGAACCTAGCATAATCGCACTAAATCTGTCAAATACATATACGGTACTGTTTGACATACAAAGTACATTGCTTCACAAAGATAATGCGCCTTTTAATCCGTAGCGCCTTTTGTATTAAAATGGATGAAAATAAACCCGTTCATTGATATTGCACTTTATAATCCGCCGCGCTGAATGGTCCGAGAAATACAGTCGACTTCCACGTGACCGTATGGATCCTGGCGAAGAATTCTGTTTCATTTCAGTGGCCTATTGGTCCCAATTTCTTGACAAGCTCAAGGATTATTGTTCAATTTCCAAGGTACTGGGACATCTCTTTGCACTTATCTCTTCTGGATATCCGACTCCAAGAGGGCTTCGACCGCAGAGGTCAAATGTTAGATCAATGGGGACATGTTTCTTGTGTGCAGTTTGATGGGATTCCCCCCCCCCCACCCCCCTTTTCCACTCTTAAGATTTTCCAACAATGACTCGTTTTGATTTTCTCAGTATTCCATCTTGGGATTTTCATATAATTATAGATAGCCGCTATCAATAATGACTTATTTTATCGTGGAAAAGTGTTAAAAGGCAGACAGTTATCGTTTGGGATGTAATATCTCCAAACACTTTAAGTACCTGAAATAGCTCGACTCATTGCCTCTTTGGGGGCTTTTTATTTTGCTGTCGAGAGCACATTTATTTCTTGGTTGAAGTCGTTTAATGCCGCGGCGTGCCGTGGTCAGCCGGCTCTGTTTGTTACTGCTGTTTTTTTTTTTTTTTTTGTGGCTTCGCTCCACTTAGTCTGAGTGACGGACGGTACACATCAACTACGTATGCGCGAAAGTCATTATTTTTTTCGTCACGCTTTCGGCAGCCTGTCCTTTTGCAACACTTCCCACACAATAAGATCCAGTATATCTGCCGTGCGCGCACAGTTGACACGGTTGCGTTTTAAAGCCAACAGTGGGCACCTCATTGGCCGATGAGCTCGCAGCGAGCTTGGCTACCTTCATCGATCATGTGACCCTTGGCTGGGAGTCATAGCAGTCCATCAAGAGACTCCCGTTCTCCACCTGCCCTCCTGACGTGGCCTCCTCCTTTTCCTTCCCTCTTTTTCTCTGCAAGTGAATAATGAACTTGCCTCCCATTCTTTATCTCCCTCTTACACTGTTACCCCAGCCCCCACCCCCTCTCCCCCTCCCCAAAAGAACGATCCTCCCACCCCTCTTTCCCTCGCTTGGGCTCCAACTTCATTTGCCACGGTGTCGCAGCAAGCTGTTTGGCAAACCTGAGCGCCGCGATGGTTGAATGCAGCGCGGCGAGCATACTGGCGGCATTGTGCGTTTGCCGAGGCCCTCCATCTTAGTCACTCAAGTGTGCGTGCCTGCGTGTGTGTGTGTGCGCAGCTGTGTGTCATTGTGTGCCTATGGAGCTGACGGTTGCGTGCGTGCGTGCGTGCGTGCGTGTGTGTGCGCAGCTGTGTGTCATTGTATGCCTATGGAGCTGACGGCATGGTCGATATATGACCATCTTGGTTCATATTAACTCATTCACTCCCAAAGACGTATTTAGATGTCTTTTTAGACGCCACACATTTAATCCCAGCTCCTCATTTTATAATGACAGTACTTGAAAAGGGTCTGAAAATGGCCATTAAATGTGTGGCGTCTGAAAAGACATCTAAATCCGTCTTTGGGAGTGAATGAGTTAAAGATCATAGATGAGGGTTTATCTGGCAAATGCCCGAATTCGTTGTTGGATCGTGTTCCGCTGGTGCGATGCCAGGCTGACACACATGCATGACGCATCCCCTCGTGGAGAAAAAAAAAACAGGCAAGTCGGGGAATTAACGTTCCAAACGGTGCTGCTCCAAAGTCAAACTGTCAAACTGGTCTGTTGTGAAATGTTGGCCTTTGCCCAAATTTGCGTGGACGAGACCGCTCATCGGCACATTTCCGTTATGATGTGTTAATTTCTACCATGTGGCGTTGCGCTTTTTTTTTTTTTTGGTGTCACATGGGGTGTGATGTCACTCTCCTGCAGCTCTTGATCTCCCACTCAACACACATGTCAGCTTTATGTCGCGCAGTACCATCACAGCTGTGGAAATGTTTTTTTTTTTTTTGTTTGTTTTTTCGAGAAGAGTTGAAGGGTCAAAGGCAGGCTGCCTGACATCCAGGCAGAATGCAGAAACACATCTGTCACTGGCCGGGGAGCGTCCCGTTCCTTTTCCATTTTCCCTCTCTCGCGCTCTGCCTTTCATTGCAAATCCTTTAATCTCTGAAGACTCTCCAACTCGGGCTGCCTGTCAAAAGCCACTGTACAATAATGTGCTCTGTTCGATGGTTTCACCGCTTTAGTGCTTCGGTGTCTTTATTGTTTTTGGACTGCGAGGTTGCGTCAAATGGATATTAACCTGTATCAGTCGCTCCCAACGCCGTCGAGAAGGCGATAAGGTTGTTCGTTGCCTGTCCTTGAAAGACAATGTACGCTAATGAACCCCACAGGGCTAATTATTGACTGCAGACAACCATGGTTACCGTGGTAACTGTTTGGATGGATGTCAAATGTGCAGCCGAAGCACCAAACCCAGCATTAACCAATTTTTTTTTTTTTTCCCTGAAACACAAACACGTACGCAAAGGAAGCCTTCTTCCCACCTGATTGCGTCCCCATTTTTCATGCCAAGAGATTTATGGTTCGAGAAATGTGGGAGACAGGCTATTACTATGTCCTTTTTGAACTCATCAGTCAGACAAAGTGGTTCGAGGTGGTACCAGAGACGGTGGCAGGCCTTTTTACCGCGACACATTTTCCCTCCTACACGCCTCGCCTGCTCTCACCCGTGTTAACGTTGCTCCGTTGGCTCCCCCTGTTGCTTTTGTGTGTGTGTGTGTGTGTGTGTGTGTGTGTGTGTGTGTGTGTGTGTGTGTGTGTGTGTGTGTGTGTGTGTGTTTTTGTCAGCGTTTAGGCTACAGCACCGTTCCTGACACGCTACTTCATTTTCTCATCTGATTGGAGGCTGGTGGCGGAGGATCTCATCACGCTGCAGCAAAATCACTTGTTTACTCCACAAATCGTATTTAGTCGCGACATACTGGAACGTGCAATTTGGCAACCGTTCAGGGATGTCTTCGGAAACCTCGACGCTCTCCTTGACATTCGAGATAGTGATACCGTATGTTTTGGAACATGCATCCCCAAGTCATATTTTATGGAAATGGAAAGTTTGTGCCAAGTAGCTGGATGGATAACTTTTTAGTCCGCTTTAGTTTCTTAAGCAACACGATGTGCTTATCATGTTATTATTATTATTATTATTTTAGCTGTTCTGTTAGTTACTGTTGAACTGAATCTTGAATGCCCATTATTGAATGTACCGTACTTTCCGCACTATAAGGCGCACCTAAAGCCATTCCATTTTTCCAAAAGCTGGCAGTGCGCCTTATAATCCGATGCGTCTTATACATGCGTCAATATTCGGACTTGGTGGGCGTAGTATTTGAAATGATCTGTAAAGCGCTTTGTTATAACTGCGGCGGTTGTGAAAGCTCTATTTAAATAAAGCTGCGTTGTATTGTAATCTCTTTAGTGTGGCTCCACCTAGTGGATGCATAACGCAACTGCAACCACTATTGTAGCTTCTATTCTATGTGTCATATAATGCGGTGCGCCCTACATATGAAAACCGTTTTAAAATAGGCCATTCATTCAAGGTGCGCCTTATATCCCGAAGTGCATTATGGTGCGGAAAATACGGTAATTTAAATACGGCATTTACAGCTGTCTGTTAGCGGATGAAGTCAAAAGATGCATATAGTGACAATTGTGCTTGCCTTTACTCTGAAATTTCAGTTTGATCCCAACCAAGCATCAAAATACCAGTCGCTAATTTTGATTCCAGCCCCTGATAAACTTTCTTTCATACTGCTTTTTATTTTCCAATTAATACAGTATTATTCTTTTTATTTCCCACTTCGTGAACCCGTATTCACCTTTCTCCCTTTTGTGAAACCGTTTCATCTCAACAGCCCGTGTTTGTTTGTGTTCCTTTTCAATTTGCCCTTCATCCTCATGTTTGTGCATCGAGACGCAAACGGTGGTCTGAAATGTTGCTGCCGACGCAGTTTATCCACTAAAACAGTCACATTTGTGCTTTTTATGGCTTGTTATTGTGGCGGCGGCGGCTCATCGGCGTCGATGGCTGTGTCCTCACGGTAAAGTCATCACTACAAGTCCACGTTAGCGTCCGTTTGTCCTCCTTTCACCAAGCCTGGCTTCTCTACTTATCGAAGAGCAGCCGAATGGCTCTCGAAAGGATGGGAAAATGCGAGCGCTGACACTTTGATGCCGCATAGGTTACCCCCACTCGGCCATACCTCACACAGACGTGTCCAAGAAGTGTCAGCCTTAACCGGTGGAGTAGCCGCGTGTCTTCCTTCGCTGCCTCGTCATCCTTCTCTTCCCTCATCCTTTCTCTCGCCTCAACTCGCCTCGACTCACGGTGTGTTGGAGCAAGAGCTGCTGATAGGAGTGTGTGCTGGCTGATAAGTAAACACACTTGAGGAGCTTTATGGAGGTGGGGGGGGAAAAAAATGCTGTTGAATATTCCCCGCAATTGTGTTGCAACGCCAACCCGAGCGCGAGCGGCGCTCAGCTGGCCGACGTCAAAAGATAACCGAGCAATCCAGGAGGCGCGCTGACTGTTAAATAGGCAAGCGTAACGAGTGGCAATTACACCGTCCTGTTTAGAAAGCACGGCGTAGCTGAGGGCTGTGTTTTGCTTCAGTCAACACACGGGTTGTGTGTCACGCCTCGGGGGGGGTTTCCATTAGGAATCTGGGCTGCTTGATAAGTAAGAGATGAAATTCCGCGTTGGGGATCGACTGCCTGTCATCAGTCTCTTGGTGTCTTCCTAAGTTTTCTCTCCCTGAACTAGCTCGGAATTTCTAATCCGTTCATGCTCGGATTTGACAGATGGCATTTACAATCAGCTGGTTTGACCGAAAATGGGCGCGTTTGTTCATTGAAAGATATTGTTTGCCTTGACTACTCGGTTTGTATTTAATGTCATTATATTTTACATTTGTAGAGTTATGGTTTTTTGGGGGTTTTTTTGTGGTGTTCAGACAAATGTAACATGCATGTTTTTGCTATCGGCTTAGCACATCTTTAGCTAATTTGCAGGCGTCACCAAGATACGGTTTATGCTCGTTGGTCGTCGGGTCAAGCATCCTGTGGTTTGATTTTGTCAACCAATGCCAAATACATGTTGCACCTTTTGATCCCAAGCGAGCTTCTGGTGTTGGCTGGCAGCTCACAGGAGGAAATGGAATGCGTTGCAATGTGTGCCATAGCACACAAATGTCCTCAGAGGACCCCCGTTGCTCTTGTGTGCTTCTCCCTGATTGTGTGTTTGTTTCATTGTTTACATCCTTTCTTTTTGGTCATCGCTTTCACCGCACGGCCCTGCTCTGCCTTCCACAAAGGCGCTCATTCGTCCATGTCAGCTCAGCAGAGGCCCGCGGATTGAGGAATTCCCCCCCGCCCCCAGAGCGTTTTCTTTATCTGGATCTGTGCTAGCAGGAGCAGCGTCTTCATTTAAAGTGGACCCTCTGTTGGCTGGCTGTCAAACACAGTCAGAGGCAAACCTGACATGATATGTGAGCTTCTCACAGAGGCTGGCACAAGGAGGCCCACAGCAGCCGACAAAAACTCCAATCACGTTCCCTCACACTCGTTTATTCATTTCTCCTCTTGTGCGCCCCAATTTCATGGTCATCTCCTTCCTGTATTGTGTTTTTTTTTGTGTGTTGACAAAACTGGTCCCTGAATTCTCTGCAATATGGAACAGGCTGCACATGAGTGTAAAACTTATTTTCACAGTGTTATCCCCTAGATAGTAGATGCTAGTAGTACTTAGTCAGTCCTCCATTAAGCGTTTCCAGTTGGTCCAAAATGCTGCTGCTCACCCCTTCACAGTTACTCGTAAGAGGGAGCACATAACTCCTAATCCCTTGACTGACTCCCTGTACATTTTAGAGTTCTTTTGAAGATTCTATTGTTTGTTTGCCAATCTTGAAATGGCTTCGCCACACCTTACCTCTCGGAGCTCCTCCACTGACGACTAAGCGTAGGCTCAGACGGGATCGAGCTGATCCCTCTCTTTGGAATGACCTCCCGCTGAAAGTTAGGCAAGCCCTTTCGCTGCCCATCTTTAAAACTCCGTGTTATTCTTTGGCCTTTGACTCCGCATGAGACTTGATTTTTACTTTTACTGTCGATGCGCGTACTACTGTCTTTGTTATTCATTTATTGTTTTATTGTTGTTGTATGGATTATTTTTGATCTCTCAATCCAGGTGAGTTGAGATGTGTATTTTTGATGCTAGGTAAGGGTACAGAAGGGTATGGGGTCATACTTAAGAGTCCAGAGAAGTTGATGGCTCCCTCGCTTGTGCAGAGGCACCTGAACGTCCGCAATATTCTGGCTGGTTTTGAATGCTAACCATCCCCAAACAGAAATAAACAGGACGAGAACAAATCCGCCAAGAAAGGAAAGTGACGTCACACCTAAACGCAGTTCATATGGCCAAGTGTGAGTTGGTCCTTAGACTTGATTCAAAAATGAATTGAACATCAGACTTCTCAAAATGTCACCTTTCCTGTTGAAAACACAAATGTATTGGGGGGTTCTTTCTTTTTCTTTTCTTTTGTTTTTTTGTTTTTTTTAAACAGCAAAGCTGCGGCAAATATGTTCCACGGGGGATGCTCCCATATTCTGTCGCTATGGTTAAAACATGAGCAATTTATCATTCTCCTTGATGCCCACAATATTGTTATTCTGCTCTGCTTTACCCAGATTGAACGTAGCCTTGTTTGAAGAATCATATTTTATTCCTGGAGACAATATCATTGGAACTTTATATGTGGTCTCTCTCTGACTGAGGCACAAAAAAAATAAAATAAAATAAGGACCTTCTCCAAACTGAGGCTATGCCATCTAAATTCAAGGCGGCCAAGTCATACCCGAGATTGATGAATCAATGTCCCCGATATTGATGTTCGGGCTGTGCGTTGAGTTAATATCAGCGGAGTGATGAGCCAATTAAGCTTCGCTGCCGAGGTAGGCTGATTAGTGGAGCTTACGGCAACGATCTGGTCTAATTCAACTATAATGTGCATGACGGAGGAGGCTGGCATTACTCACGTTAAAGCCCTCATTCAAAGATGAGTTCATTCCGTACAGTCGACAGATGCACGCCAATCCCATCCGGAGTCATTGTTCCTCTCCTCAAATGCCTTTTTTTTTTTTTCTCCCCTAACACCGCGACTCATGAATCAGGCCGCAACCGCTGTACAAAATGGGCGAAACAATGCACGGAAAACGTGACCCGCAGCACGCGTGTTGTTCATGCCGTCCGCGCAAGCAAAGGCAAAGCTAGATGAAGCCTTTTTTTTTTCTTTCATATTTGCAATCATCGCCTCTCATGCCGCTTTGTAGCGTGTACTTCACAAGCTGCCTTTTATGGAATAGTTGACGCACCTTATTAAGAGTAATAGCAAGACTATTTATTTACATATATATATATATATAAAATATTGTTTTGTTGCATTTTACGGCATCTAGAAAGGAAAGAAATCAAAAACCCGAAAGCTGCTCATCTCCATTTTTATGCCAGACTGCTGTGAAATAAACTTGAATCAACGCTGGCCAATATTCTTCACAGCTCATCGGATATCCATATATAATATTGAAACGAGCTCTCATTTCCTCATCCTTTCCCGTGTACTTAGCTCACCTGCAGTGCCACGTCGCCACATTGGAAAGAGAGACCCCCTTGCGGAAATGACGCTGCTTTTTCTTTGCTTTCGTGATGATGTTCTTGGCCTTAGTCATATTTTTTTGAAACATCTGGCGAAATGGTGTGTTGTTTAACCCTTTCACGTACCCTGTAACCTGATAAGCTGTCCATCGGAGTAACCGCTGTCCCTCGAAGGGTTAACGTGACTCTAGCTCGTTCACACCTTGAAAATTCGCCTCTTTTGTAGTCTCGTCCTCCGACACAACTTCTGGGTAAATCAAAGGCTAGTAGGCCTTCGCCGCCATCGTGGAGAAGACGCAAAAGCATTTCAAAGTAAAGGGAGGAAGTCGCGGTCTTGTGGGACTCGCTGTGTGTTTTCATGTACCCTAATTAGGCCTTCGTTTACCTCAAAGGCTTTCTCTTTAGCCAAGTCCCCGAGGTGGTCTTTCACTCTATAGCTCTCCCCTTTCTCTCCAAAAGGGAACACGCCAAGTGGGTTAGCATCCTTAAAACAAGCACAAAATTCTCAACTCAGCTGTATTGATAGAGCACTTGAAAACAACCACCGCTGTCTACAAAGTGCCGTACACGGAGCGAAATTAATCCGTGCAACAGCAAACAATAAATGAAGAACCAAGAGTAGAAAGCACAAAAACTGTAAAACTAAAAATCAATTCTCATGCTGAGTCAAAAGCCCAAAAATAAAAATGTATAGAGAGCCACTGAAGGGATGCCAGAGTAGGAGTTATATGCTCCCTCTTACGAGTACCAGTCAAAAGGCAAGCAGCAGCTTTCTGGACCAACTGGAGACGCTCCATGGAGGATCATCTAACTCCAAAGTCAAGTGCATTCCAGTCATCCAGCCGAGATGTGACAAAGGCGTGAGTTCCTGTTTCAAAGTGCTCTTGAGAAACTAGAGGCTTTACTTTCGCTAGCTGCCAATGGTGAAACGGCACCAATTTTCCGATGACCACCGTGTTTTGGAGCCGCAAACATTTGGAAAGGGTCTCAAAAAGCATTTCCATTTCCACGTGGCCCCAATATAATAATAGTCTATTTTTCCTGTGCTGAATGTTACCTTTCGCCAAAAACCTAGCGGCCTCCGTGAAATGTTCGCTTAAAATGGCCAATGGTGTTAAAAAAAAAAAGCAAAAAGCAGTTAGAAGAGGAAGTACTACCTCAATATGACTTCTATTATAATGGGTGCTACCAGAAGGTGAAACCCTCCAAGAATCGAAACTCTTGTCTTGATTGTGCCGCCGTGTTTTACTATAGTCGGAGCCGATAAAATGACCCGATAATCCATTAGCAATACAGTGGGCTGCCGTTCCGCTACATTACTTTGTTCCCTCATTGCAAGCTGTTGTCGTTCTGCGCGCGTGCTACGGTACAAAACTACGTTTCTCCCCGTGGCATCCAATTATCCACTTTTTGTGGCTTTTTGGATTATTTCGTTTTCCTGACGCTCCCACTGTAAAGTTGATTTGCCCTTTCGCTTTCAGCTGAGCCCCAAAGTCATCCGATTTTCTTTTTTTTGTCTGATGAATTCTATTTAAATCCAAGAGGGTGTTTATCTATCTATCTATCGATCCATTTCCAAGACAAAGCAAAAGCATTGATGTATTTATTTTCCATTTTGTTGTGTTTTATTTCTACTTTGTTTGCTGGAAGCTTTTGATTTGATTTTTTTTTTTTGGGGGGGGTGGGTAGTTATTTAGTTATTTTTTCCCCCCTCCAATAGCAATGCTTTAGTTATGTACTCTCTTAATAATGACTTGAAAAGATATACGAGATAGATATAGCGAGAGTGAAAATTATCCTGCCCGAGCGTCTCCGTTTGAAGCCACGTTGACATGAAGTGATCAATCACTTCGATTTTAGAAACTTTAATTGATTACATACTTGGCCCGCTTTGTATGCCGTCGTGGTTTGTTGTGCGATGGGGAGGATGTTTCTCATGGCATTTTTACTTTGAGCGTAACAAGCCGACATCACGTGTAAAAGTAACAAATTGTAATTTCAATGCTCATTTCTGATTTAAAACAAATAAAAAAATAATCCGAACGTAACCAATTGAAATTCACACATTTTGTTGTTTAATCATTTGCTGGAAACGCTGCTCAATAAGCCTGACCTTTGACTGAACATGTTTTGCTCCAAGCGTGATATGAAGAATGAGGAAGGCCCAAGCGGGGTCATGGAAGTTATTGTTCACCGGGCCCTGTTGTCAGCGCGTCGTCATTGTCACTCCAGAACGCGACATAATCTCCTACTCGGCTTTCTCACATTGTGTGGAGACCAAACGTTTGCTCTCATACCGTATGCGCACCTGCGCCGCATCGGCTGGTCGGACCAGAGGGCTCGTCTCTAAGGTGCCAGTTCAACGGGTGGTGCTAATTAAATGTGTTTAACCCAAGGTCATCTACTGAGATAAGAGGAGGAATAAAAGCCTCGGAGAGATGTCCACCAGACTTCTGACGAGAGAGAGAGAGAGAGAGAGAGAGAGAGAGAGAGAGAGAGAGAGAGAGAGAGAGAGAGAATGCAAAGCGAGGAGCAGATTGACAGGGTTGGAGGGGTAGAAGAGGGTTTAACCATGTTGTAAATGTTTTATAGGGCTCCTTTGAACTCCTCGGAGTGAAGGAAGGCGAGTGACGTCTGTGCAAATCTCAGTCGAAATCCAGGCCTCCCCCTCCACAGATGAGCCGGTTAATGTTGAGGATGGGAGGGCAGCGGTGATGACCGCACATATACGATACCCTGAAAATGTTTTAACTGTCAGAAAAGCTAACAACTGGACATAAAGTCCGCTCGTCTTTTACACGCCTGCACATGTAATGCTCCGATAAAAACGTCCGCTCGTATTTTGGAAAATAAGGAATTAGAAGAACGCGAATGAACGGGAGTCGGTTCAAGTTAGCATCGGTTTTAGCACTCAAGGAAGGGGGAAAAAAAATGGCTGTCGACGACGAGATAATTAAAACGAATAGTAAAAGCTGCCTGGTTCACCCGTGTTGTAATTGTTGTTAGGATTAACCAGGCGCCGTGTCTGAGCTGGTTTGCTTTTCAAGTGTGATGCCGTTGTGACGAGAAGCACTGCCATTAGCATTTAGCGTTCTGGTAATTTGAATCCCAGCTTGTGGGGAATCCATTACTGTACGATGAAAATGGCTTTCCCGAGCTCTTTAAATTGTTTCTTTAGATGGTGTGTTTGGGACACGGAGACGTTTTAGGAGAGAGCGTGGACTTGTGTGTCGTGTTTTTAAGTAAGACATGGTGTAGTGGGAGTGCTCAGGGTCACAAATTGAGAGCCGAGTTGGAGCCCGTCACA